TTTTTTTTTTTTTTTTTTTTTTTTTTTTTTTTTTTTTTTTTTTTTTTTTTTTTTTTGTTAGGAGACTTATTTCAACAGCAGTCAGTACAGGAACGCGTCTTTCATTGGTCTATACAAATAAATGTATTACGGTGTCCTTTATAAATTTAAATTTAAATTTTTTTTATCCCCAACCTCCTTCGGAGGACTAAGATTGAGATTTTAACCCCACGCATCTTGAATTTCAGGGAAATTAATAACCCTCGCTCTCAGAGAGCCAATACCATTAAAGTTTTCAATGAATTTGGATTTCAAATTATCGTTACTTTTGTAAAAAAACTTAAAAATGAAAAAATTTCAATTTTAAACAAAATTCCAGCGTAATTATAAGACACTAACATGTACACACGAATATGTCAATTGGACAATTGCCCTTAAAAAAAAAAAGGACACATTTTATTCCGTTGCGCACAGTAGCCACCGCCGTTACTATCATCATCTCGAAACAGTGAAAGTTCACGTACAAGTACCCACTGATTCACACGCTCGACCATCAGCGCATCAGAAGCAGGTGTGCATTATAGGTACATATACATATGTACTCTCGAGTCGCGCGCTTGCATCACACACGCTCGGAGATCTTTAAAAAAAAAAAAAAAAAGAAAAAGAAAAAAAAACCTTTCCGGTCCTCCTCGTTTTGCGAGGATGCAACAATAACAACAGATCGTTAGGTACGAGCGTCACTCCTGCAGTCTCGGAAACCAAAGAGAAGACGCGTGTGCTCTCTTATGGAAATGCGCCTTGCACAAGGTCCCTGTGCTTTTCTTCTCTTTGTGTTTGCGCGCACTTTGCGTTTTATTTGCCGTTGTAGATCTCCTCCTTAACGTTGCGAAAATTGTGCAAATACACATTTCCTCCTGCATTTCTTTTTTTTTTTTTTTTTTTTTTTCACCCCCTCTGAAGAACGAGCATAAAAATTACAAGTGTGTACATACACGCGTGCTGATATCGCTCGAAACGATCTTTACCCGTTCGCGCGAGCGAAAGCCATCGAAATTGTGCTTAAACGCGCTCCCAAAAAATGATTCGGATAATTACTCGTGCACGGTCATCGTATCGGTTTTTTAACAGCGTAATAACACACTACCCGCCAACTTGAACGCATGTGCACCTGTACTTTGTAGCGTTGCCAAGGTAATCCGTGCGAAAGTTCAATGTAGTTGAGGTTTTTGTCTTTCGATGTGAGCACGGAAAATTAAAAAAATCTCCTTTGACGTGGAAATCGAAAAAACAACAGAAAGTCGACCGATGGTGCCGATGCACGTTGGAAAAGGTCAAGGTAGTTCGAGGCGATGATGGAAGTACAGACTTAACCGATGGCTTTTTTACACATGCTGTTTTTGCAGAAGCCATTAGCTTAAAAGTCCCCGATCACTGCTTTTTTGCTCCCGGCTGCCGAAAAATAATAACCTCCATCGATTAGTTTACCCGGTCGCTGATCCGGTCGGGAAAAAAAAAACTGTGTCGTCCAACCGCGATCCTACGACTCGCCAACAACTACAAAAAGCAAGAGCTTTGACAAATTATATCCAAAGGCATTCAATGACCTCATGGCAACAACAACTGTGGCATCGCACTTTCGCAACCGTCCCCTTTGGAAACTCATCGCGCCACCCATCAGTCATAACCGTTTAGTCCTTAGGTGCCATTGCGTGCGTGCAGCCGGGCGAGTAATAGTCGCGGCAATCGAGCACCTATTAGGAATCGCGGTGCGTCAACATCGTTGTAACAAGAGAGTAAAAACACGCGCGTCATCTTGCATCATCCGCCGATGATGCTGTCTCGAGTCCTCGCGAGGACACGGGAGATCCACGGCGTCGGACAATACAACCTTTGGCACCGATATTATACGAGATCCTCGAAGCTATAAGTTCGTCTCATCGATGCTCAACCTTATTGTTTCTTTTGACGGCCATGCGCGCCCGTACATCACCGTCTCCTCCTCCTCCTCCTCCTCCTTTCGTGGCTTGAGGTCGAATTCGTATGGCACAACGGTGCGTTGCACGTGACAGCGCCTCTTCCCATTGCCCAACTATATCAATAGCCGCACAATCGCACTCTGCCGTTTAAACGAGATCGTTATCCTCGGTACAAAATCTTCCGAGTTACCTTTTTTTTGGGCCATTCGAACCGAGGATGCGCTCGGGCCGCGATCATTGCCCAACTGGCCGAGAGCCGGCCAAGGGTTTTTTGACCCTTTCGGTTGCGAATTTTCGGCCCTGCCGATTTATTAGGAATTCGATGTACAATTTGGGAAATCCCTTGGTTTTCCTGCATTCGCGAGATACTGTAGATTCGGATCTTCTCATCGCGCGCACTTGTTTGTATATAGCCTCGAGTTTCGGAAAAT